AAATCGTCGCTCACATCACGAACTAACACAATTAAATTCAATTGTGTTAGTTCTTGAAATCAAAAAAGCGCGTCAAAATACGCGCTGTTGTCGTTAAGGACTTTTTGTGTGGTAAAGAATACAAAATTTGCTTGACAACCAATACGCGCTCGTTTTGACGCGCTACTGTGATTTCACGAACTAACACAATCTACTTTGATTGTGTTAGTTCGTGATGTGAGCGACGATTTTTTAACAAAAGGGAGCTCTTGAATGGATAGAGCAACTTTAAGGTCAAGTTATCCGGAAGTCATACGTAGTCTTATGTCAAGTAGGCTTCAAAAGAATAGGCTAGTAGGCCTACTCCTAATTTGTAATCGTGATTAGGTTTTGCATCAAAGGTCACTATCACAACTGATCGATATGAGGTTGTTAAGTCTCAATAAATATAGGAAGTTTTCATCACTTAATATAATATAAAAAGAGATTTACAAAAACGCCTTGACACGCAAGCACTAAAATTTTGATTTGTCCAGTTCTGGTATTCCCGGCATGCCTATAGGAAATTATAGGAAACTTTATTGAAAACGTTTGACACAATTATGTCCGTCTCTGTATTTTAATGCCGTTGTTGTTTCTTCTTCTTTTTTTTTTTTTTTTTTTTGGTCAAGCTCTCGTTTTCTTGGACGCTATCCAGGGTGCGGAACCAAAACTCGTTTACTTGCTTACAAGGCAAATCAGCTAACAGTATATTGTATAGCCCACGGCCAATATCATCAATCGACCCATCAATAAAAAAAAAACTAAATAATTGATAATTAACTAGTTCAAAACAAAAATGATTTTGGTATTTCATTTGTAATACTAATAATTCTTTGAATGTATGGAACAAAATTAAACATGTATAATCATAGTATACCGGTAGTATTATATTTGCTGATTTTTTTTTATTTTTTTATAATAGAACGGGTATTATAGTTTATTAGGCCAAATTCGTAGCTAGCTCAGTCTTCATGAATTAAAGATATTCTGTGGTTTCAAGAACCAAATAGGTCATCTCAGTATTCACCAAAATTTAAAATTATTACCTAATGGATACAATATTATTAATATTCTCATATAGGCCTACGTTTCTCTGAATCTATATGTAGCACGTAGAAGTCTACGAGAGCCAAAAGGGAGGGTGAGATAGCGTCGGCGACGCATTTGGCCCTTTCGTAAACCCGTAGTGCCATCCCTAAGCCGCCGTGCCCAAAATTGTGTAGTTTGTACGCATGCGCTAGAATTTTGCGTCGTAAACGCGAAAAGAAAATAAATCTTTGACGAGTAATTTCTCCATAGACAGAAAGTGTACTGATCACACACAAACTAATTTTCGAGTTTTAGTGTATAATAATTTTTTTTTTTTTGCTATAATGACAAGGCAAATCCAAATAATACATCTTAAGATATTTTAAAACCACGTTTACCACAAATGTAAACTAAATAAAAAGTCCTAAAACTTTGCTCTGCACTTAGGTCATGAGAGAGAGTAACGAAAAAGCAGCGCTGTTCCAAATTTCACGATTTAGGCTAATGCTATATCAGTAATAGCAGCGCTGTTCCAAATTTCACGATTTAGGTTAATGCTATATCAGGATGCCTAGCCTCGGCATCCTTTAATTATAACAGGGCCTATGACCAAAAAAGTTGCTATGCTAGCCTGAGGCTTTTTTATTTGAATTTTTAAGTTTTAACACCACCGGACAGGATGCTGGCAGCCAAAAGATCAGACACAGATTTATACGGTCTAGCAAGGCCTTGCCAGTTACTAGGCTAGGTCTCTCTCTAAATACTGTACTAGTTAGGCTTAGGATAGGCCATAGCAAGAGCTGCATGGGTACCTGTATACTAGCTTAGGTAGGCCTAGCCTAGGCCAGTTCCACCTATGCTAGGCTATCTGTTAGTATTAGTGGGCATGTAGTTTTAATCTTCTGAAGTTTTTCATTATTTCTTTTAAACATTGTTTTCTTGTGGTTAAATACTGGTTTTCGCATATTTTATAAAACTCTCTCCAGTTCGTCAAAATCGAAAACCCATCGCTCGGATGATGATTACTTTTCACAAACTCGATGGCGTTTACGACGACGCAGAATTATAGCGCGTGCGTAGAAACTACATAATTTTGGGCACGGCGGGTTGGCACGGCGGGTTTACGAAAGGGCCAAATGCCTCGGGGACCGTGACGTGACGAAGTGCGTGCAACGAATGTAAAACCTTGGTTCACGCAAACGCAAAAAAAAGTGCTATTCCAGTCGATTGTCGTGTAGTCCACCGGTACACAAGGAAATATTATCAAGTTTATCAGTTCCTAACAGATAAAAACAATTCCACACAAATTTGAAGAAATACGGTCAGTGGCGTAGGTATAGGCACTGCAGTGCAGCCAATGCAAAGCACTGGGGCCCTGGGCTTTTGGGATCCCGTTCAATAGGCATATTGATCTAAAAATATAACTTTAAAAATTCCTACTTAAATTTTCCTCTCAATAATATTAGGTTATCCAAAATATGGGTGACCCATGGGTTGCCGCCCGTAAGTGTAAAACATTTGAAGATTAGGCGCGTATGATATTTACGCAAACCTAACGTTGACAGACGTACGCAAGGGGAAATGTAAAACATGTATGTATGCGCAATGGTTCCGTGGAGTTCTCTGTTCCTCAAAGGAAGCTGTCGTCCTTGCGTCGAGGGCGCGGGAGGGTCCAGGCTTGCCTGACGGAGGTGATGCCTCACTTACCCCCGCTCACGCCAAGCTGTACTAATAATAAAAGTCTTGGAAGTCTTTGTTAATATCTACTGTTATTATTATATTTGCTTTATTATTATATTTACTGTTATTATATTTAGATCTACTGTTATTAGACCCTATATAATGTAAGGAATGACATTTATTGAAATAAATTATTCTATTGATTTGTAAATTTTATAAATATTTTTATGAAATTATTATTATTATAACTATTATTATTATTATTTTTTTTTTTTTTTTTTTTTTTTTTTTTTTAATATAAATTCGGTCCGCCGGACTACTTTTGGCCGGTAAAATCGGTAAACCAGGTCGATTTTAGCCGGACAAAATTGGTCCGTCGGCCTGGCCGCTTGTAACGCGTCTGCTGCCCGTAGGGTATGATTGTTTCTCCCGTAAAGTGGAGGGAAGTAATAATTATGCTTTTCCCACATTTGAAAAATCTTTTGCAGTGACAGAATGATTCGTTTTTAGCTTTTGTGGACTCCGTTGTGGACGTACTTTATCAAACACACATGATAATGCATTTCCTAGGCCTATTCGACACACATCGGCATTTTCGGCGGCCGTGCTTGGCCTAGGTTTGGGCCTAAAATGAAACACAAGTCTGATTTATTAGTTTTAAATATTGCATATTATTGTGTGGGGTATTAGGTCATACAATAGTTGTTCTATTACATGAAAATAAAAGGGGTCAATAATTTTTTTTTAATGATTGCTCATTATTCTACCATTTCGTCGCGGCGTTAAGCAAGCACACAACCAAAACAAAACAAGGTAAAAATCTTTCCTAACAGGCCTATTGGAAATATTTGGAAAAATCACAGAAACACAAATCACGGCATCTGATCATGCAAACAGGCAATCGTAAAAGCACAGTATGTAAAATGATATGGTTTTATAAACAATATATTATAATAATGTAGGGCTCTAAAGCTTATACTAGTTCAGTGTGATTATTATAGTGATTGAAATGTCATTAAATAAAAAGTGTTTTGAAAAAATATCTGGAAAAATAATGCTACAATTTTCGTGATCGCTTTAACATGCCTACAAAGCATTTACATGCCTCAAAGCGTTTGTATCCAACTTGATGACAAATAGCTGCTAGGTATTCTTTGATTGAACGATTACTCTGTGCAGCTCAGATTTTAGTTTCTTTGGTAAACAGCTCATCTAGTCGGTAACGCTTGGGGACTAGCCTTTGTCGAAACACGAGTACTCCCCCCGTCTCCCAGCAACCCTAGTTTAGTTACTGGACAGGTAACAGTATTTCTTTACGGTTAAAATGAGTTTATAATTAAATAGAGTACATCACTACTGGATTAGATAAGTGAACATACCGGTACCTGACGAAGTGGCTGTGCTGGATTATCCGCAGAACGCTGACACAAAACGGACTTCACGATGGAGGCATTTACTAACTCCACATCAACCTCGTGGTGATGTGATATATATATATATTATAGCCTTAATAGATTTGAAATCGGTGCCTAAAACGCAAAAATCACTGATGGTATGGCTCGGTGAAGTAGTAAGCAACAAGGATGCCATTTTTGGGGTTGTTAAGTCTGAGTTGTGACATTCGGTTTCGCCTACATAATTGTCGTTATTACATTTAGTTCAAAATAGTAGTGTGCTCACTTTTGCACGACGGTGACGACAAAATTCGGCAAACTGGTTTTCGGTCAACTGGGATTTTATGTTTTCGTTAAACTGGATTCGACAAACTGGGTTTCGGCAAAGTGGCCTAAATTCGGCTAACCCGGTTTCGGCAAATTGGATTCCGACCAACTGGTCGGATAATCTTGATGGTTTTTATCCAATTTTTTGTGGTCATTAGGCCTGAGTTTACATTCGGTTTCGCCTACATAATTGTCGTTATTAGCCTACATTTTGTTCAAAAATAGTAGTGTGCTGCGCTCTACGACGGTGACGACAAAATTCAGCAAACTGTGTTCGGCAAACCGGGTTTCGGCCAACTGGGATTTCATGTTTTCGGTGAACTGGATTCGGCAAACTGGGTTTCTTCAAAGTGGCCTAAATTCGGCAAAACGGGTTTCGGAAAACTGGATTTCGACCAACTGGTCGGATACCCTACAGGTTGAGGTTTTAACAGGCACTATGTCACACGTTTTATGAATACATTTTAGATGAAGTTCATTTTATGTAGGTTATACTTTAGTGCCCTAATTCTCAAACTCTTTTAAAAGATTACTAAATTTTCTCGACTTATTCATAGGAAACCATTAAAAACGATTATAAATTATATGTACAATAGGTTCCCTCCTTTTCAACAACATTTTTCTAGATACACCCTAAACACAAGATTTTTCACGATAAGGGAAAAGTTATGATAGTGCACATTCTTCGGCGGAGACATTTAAGTCGTTGGTCCCGTGTGCAATATGGTTCCTGGCACGTTAAGTCGTCTGTAGTCTGTAGTGGTACCACCCTAATGCAAGCATAACAATCCCTTTTTACACACCAGCATAACCCTTGGATAATAATAAACTAATAAAGATTCAATTATGTTTGCTTAACCTTTACGATCACACACTAAAGAATTAGTTGTGAAATAATAAAGTTCACAAAGAAGCAGTACTTTATTGTAATAAAGCTGTATGTTTCTGCCATGCGCATGAGCTTATCTACTAAAACCTATATATAGTTCATAATCGGCTTATGAGGATACAACAAAGAAGATAATTTTTGGAAGATAATGTGTTATATTTATATCAGGTGTGGACTAATCTTCGAGGCTTCTAGATAGCAGAGCCAGAGAGTTTACCTTTCAAAGGTCAAAGGCCCAAGTGTACCTGACTCGTTTACTGACCCGGCATTTAACTACTTCAAAGGTAAATTGTTGATACGCCTGCAGTACCTCTTTAACTCAGTTCGTCATTTATGTAACGAAGGTAAGAAATATTATTAATTTCTTAACTATAACTTTAAATAAGTTTGTAAACAAACGGTTTCCTCCCAAAACTAGCCTATGGTCATGTATTATGTCATTGTGCACATTCTTATACGTCATACTTAATAGTTATAATATGTAAACTGATTCATGCAAAATACTGTAGTAACGTGAGACTGGAAGATGGATATCGATTGCTTGATTTTATTTAATTTGTAATTGATAATTATCGTTTCTTGTATTATCATCATCATAATAAATATCATCGTCATTGCCACCTATATCATTGTTGTTGCTATCATCATCATCGATAATATAAACAATACTATTGTTATGGTCGTTGCCATCGTCGATAGTTGCAGCAGTAGTAGTGACTACTGATGATGACATAATTAATATCGAAATATTGAATCCCGACACGATGGCGTGCATTTCGATACTTGGAGTATGTATTATACTATCTTGTTCCTTAAGATCCACCACCTCTTCATTCGATATGAAAAGCTAGGAAATCATCAATATAAGTGAACTTCAAAGTCCTGTCAGTGCCACGTGACAAAACAATTGTTATTGTGCTGTTAAGTAAATGTGAGAGAATATTATCTTATCTTAGTTTTGTCAAAAATTCTCACATTTGTTTGCTTTTATATGTACGGTAATTGATATAGCACTAATAGGCCTATTGCATGTGATTAGGCTGTCAGAGATCTTTACGTACTCCCCAGAGCATAATTCTAAGCTTGCTGGATCTCGGGCGAGATACTTGTTCATATAATTTGATTTTATGTATTTTGTTTCCCCCCCCCCACCCGTTCTTTTGTTCTTTTTACATTTGTCAGTGATTAGCATGACTATATATATAAGAGTGTTGTTTTGTACATAGTGACACGCAATATTGGTTGGTGTTTATAAAATCATCATTTTAGGTTTCTGAGTTTTCATTACCGTTACGTAGTCTGATACGACTAGTCTGATACGACTATGTCAAAGGTCAAGAGATATACACAAACAGTTCGTATGGCGTAATGATTTTCTGTATTTTATAAACTTTTAAGTAACAGATTTTTAGGATTGGTGGCAGTGTTCTTCGGCTGTTATATAACGTAAAAAAATCTATTAACAAAAACATAATAAAGATTTATAAGAAAAACAGACTGTAATTTAACAATATACTGTCCTCATTTTAAAAAATGGATAGTTTAATTTAGTATGAAGGTACTTATTTTCTATATAGTTAAGTAAATAGTTTTTAATTAAAGATTAAAATGAGCTAACTAAATAGACGCATAATACTGATCCTTTTTTTTTCAATCAGACTTCCCCCCTACAATAATCATAATTCTGGTGTCTATATCGCTGGTGCCCACCATTTAGTACTCATGGCGCATTCAACTCCCAGGCTTGGAAAAAAATAAAACAGAAAATCTTGTTTCAAAATTTGTGCCTAAAGGAAGGTAAACCGGTTATTGGAACCATTTAATTGAGCCATTTAATTTTTAATTGCAATTTTCAGAATGTTCCTTTTCATATTTCACTACAGGCCGTAAATGTTCAACCGGGATAAACACATAGACCTTACCTAGAGACCTGCTTACAAACATGACTTTGAAAACAAATCGATTCCACTGGGATGTTAAAGTATGCTTATGATTTCCTGGGTAAATTGACGGACTTTACTTCATTTTACATCGGTCACCTGTCTCTATTGTTTCTACCTGCGTTAAAATAGAAACCTGCTAAAAAAGACACATGTAATTGATACTAGATAGGAAAGAAGATGACGAAGTATAAACAATTTTGTTTAGTTGTTTTACATTTGACAGGAAACCGTCTATGATTAGATAATCTAAGCTTCGTTATTAGATCGTACATCAAATTAAACCAATACGGGACTTAGGTGATACACTTTAACCTGTACATGCCGTCGTTTTGACCCTCAATTATCATTCTATTTAATGTGAACATGCTGAAATCTACCATCTACTGTGATAGTTGGTTGTGATGCTTATGATACTAGTACCATCCTAAAACTACAGAATCCGCTCTAAAAAAATGAACATAATGTCCACGCCTAGATATTGTTGCTAAGGTCCCAGCCATAAATACTGTATATATTGTTTGTTTGTGGGACATGAGCAAATTTTTGCTTGTTGATTCCTACGTTCTGATAGGTCAGTTGTTGAGTTTGACTGACGCTTCGGATAGTTGTATTGCTCAGCCCATGATACTTAAACGCGCACTGTAAGTGAGTATCAGGGATGAATGGAACTTCCAGAGTGAAGCTGCAGGCCTATAGGCCCCCACTTCAATTCCATTTCAAATTCTGCCAACAGAGGAGCACCCGAATAAAATCAACTCTATCATTATTTCTCCTATTTTAGATACTATAAACACAACAAATATATTCCAGAAGTTGTGAATCCCTCGCTGTAGGGTAAAAATGTGTGGAAACAAACTGGGGAACAATAATCATTTTTGTTTAAGTTTGCATGGCGAGTGTCAATAACAAAATAATTTCGGTACAGCATGTGTAAGAATATGGTTTTTGAGGTAAAATCACAGGGTGGTTGTCTGACAATGGTTACGTCATAAAAGCAATATGTTGTTACAAGATTTATTTATTGTTATTTTTAAAGAATACTTCATGTATATAACACACATGCACTTGGTATACCGAATGTTTAATTATTTTGAACAAATACTCGTTTGTTACGTAGGTGTACTATGCTGCCGTGATTCGGAAGAACGCATTATAAGCCAAAACCATAGTTCTAAGATATTGACCAAAACGCGTTTCTTGTTAACCTTTTGTTATGAAAATGAATTATATTGATTTTTTTTTGTGTAAATGTACTTACTACACAACAGAAAAACATACTGATGTACTTTTTTTATATATTTTTTTCTATAACCCAGTCAAAATGGGCATAATGCGCTTTTCCAAATTGAAACAAAAGCCAATGAAGCATGAAAAATCTGATGTTAGGCATTATATCCAGTTTTGCCAGTAGAATGCATGCATTATTCTTTACTTAAGGACTAATGAAATATAACAAATTAAAGTGAATTTTCACCAGGACTTTAGAGGTTTAAATTCCACTATGTTTAAATAACTTAAAACAAAACAAAATAGAAAGTTTCTTAAGGGTTTTTGTTTATATTATTTAGCAACATTATCGCATTCACTCTCATAAAATATTTATAAATTGTGTCTGATCTGATTTAGTAAATAGTGTATTTCCCCTAAAATATGGTATGGTACATGTAAAATTTAAATTAAATACTATCATTAACCACTACAGAAAGAACAATTAACAACACAAATAATCAGTTTATTTAAATTCACTATGAAGAATACCCGCCTTTCAATTTAATAAACAAAAAATAAATACCCAACTACTAAACACACTTCTTCAGGTCCATTTATAAAGTTCTGTTTCCTTAAATTATAAGGAAGTATACCGGTACTCATTTAAATATAGCTAAATATTTTAAATGTAAATTTATCATAGGTATTGTATCTAAATTTCAAGCATTAGCTTAATTGGACAGTCTAAGTAAAACATTTTTAAGTTTGATATGTATGTATTTTATTTTGTTTGTTGAATAATCTTAGTTATAATAATAATTACTAATATACAGACTAAAATTTATATTATGGCCACATTTATGTCATGGTCATATTGCAACTTATTCTTTAAAAGATGAGGACAATGTATTCTTCTTTAATTAATTGCACTCTGATCAAAAACAAACTTGGTATTATGCCCTATTATGCCCTTCCACCAGCTAGGGAACTAATTAAATATGCATCATTGTCTTCTGTGATTGGTTGATTGCTCCCTTTTCAATGCTTGGTGGATATAATGCACTCTTCCGGATTTTTTTGCTTTGGTGGATAGATATAATGCCTAACTCTCATATTAATTTCATATTTATAAAAAAATTTTGGGGTATATGATCTATTCACATGATAGATTACATAAATAGGATGCCCCTAAGCCAAAAATCTAAATATTCTCAAAAATGGATATAATGCGTTTTTCCGAATCACGGCAGTATGGATAATGCGGTACGATATTCTGAACCACTTGTGTCTTCGAGACGTGTGGAGAAGTTGAAACAAATCCCAATAGTAACACGGTTTTTCTAGCTAATTTTATTACCAATTTTGGTGGATGTCAAGCTATATTAGTATCACCCGCCCTTTAATGTAGTTTAACCGCGTTATGTTGCTGTCATGCGACGTTGCTGACAGCTCTGCTCATTTTAGCTCGTTTACGCAGATTTACAACTAGGGTTAATTCGCATTATTGAACATGAATTATATTGTTAAATTTTCCATCACACATGCTAACGTTTAATTTTTATTAACCCATATTCAAACCACTGTTAACGCCCACTAAATCAAATTTGGAGGATCTGAAGCCTGGCGTTTGGCTTTATCAGACGCGCACGTTGTTTATTAGAACACTGTACGCGTGGTCCCCACGTAAACAGGTTTAACTATCACTTCAATGATAAGGTTAAATCACCATCTTTCTTTTGCAGGAGTTTAGAAAGGTAGTAGCATTAGAAACAAAAGGTCAGTATGACGTCAAATATCACACACAGTAGTAGTAAATCTGAGCTTTTTATGGAAGAGAGGAAAATACAGAATCGAGGTATGGAGCGAGTACTTATGGTTACTGCAGTCTGTCTTACATTTGTCGTTATAGGACTTATTATTTCTACAGGTAATCATAACATTTATTTTTAACGAATTTGTCTGTAAATTTGTGCTTCAAATAATTTGACAATATATGTATTAATATTGATTCTCAATGCAAATAGTTTTCGTTCACTTTTCACTCGATCACTTATGAATAAACGGGTGATTCACGAGCTTTCAATATATTTTCATTTAGTGTATGCATATAAAAATTTGTATATACGTAATGAAAGAACGCAGAGTATACGTGTTGGAGCTTTTGTGTGTAATTATTTATAATGGGCAAAACACTAGAGAAAATATTTCCGTGGAAAACGATGGCTGGATCATGGTATATAAGCAAAGGTTAAAATAGGAATGTAAATTAACAGTCACAAATAGAACTAGAGCTTTCAGTAAAAAAGCTAGTCCTTCCTCAGTGTCTAGTGAGTGAGTATAAACAAATTCTACACACACGCATATATATCTGTCTCTTATACACATCTGTTAATTCGCATTATTGAACATGAATTATATTGTTAAATTTTCCATCACACATGCTAACGTTTAATTTTTATTAACCCATATTCAAACCACTGTTAACGCCCACTAAATCAAATTTGGAGGATCTGAAGCCTGGCGTTTGGCTTTATCAGACGCGCACGTTGTTTATTAGAACACTGTACGAGTGGTCCCCACGTAAACAGGTTTAACTATCACTTCAATGATAAGGTTAAATCACCATCTTTCTTTTGCAGGAGTTTAGAAAGGTAGTAGCATTAGAAACAAAAGGTCAGTATGACGTCAAATATCACACACAGTAGTAGTAAATCTGAGCTTTTTATGGAAGAGAGGAAAATACAGAATCGAGGTATGGAGCGAGTACTTATGGTTACTGCAGTCTGTCTTACATTTGTCGTTATAGGACTTATTATTTCTACAGGTAATCATAACATTTATTTTTAACGAATTTGTCTGTAAATTTGTGCTTCAAATAATTTGACAATATATGTATTAATATTGATTCTCAATGCAAATAGTTTTCGTTCACTTTTCACTCGATCACTTATGAATAAACGGGTGATTCACGAGCTTTCAATATATTTTCATTTAGTGTATGCATATAAAAATTTGTATATACGTAATGAAAGAACGCAGAGTGTACGTCTGTCTCTTATACACATCTAGATGAATTATACGACAGAGTCGCCGCTACCTAAAAAAGCATTTGAGCAGGTTAGAAACCCGGTCTATTCTACCTTGTATTCCTACCACGGTTAGAGTGTGAATCACAAAAGGAAAATTAAGATATAGGTTCTTTTTATTCTTTTACTGTTAAATGACGCTTTTTGCGATAAGCACAAAACGGTCTGACAAGATCTACCCCCACCTCTTCCCTCCAACTTACTCCACCACTATATCGTTACTATTGTTATTGGTCCTTGGTACACTTTGAAGCATACTTATAACATGTGCACATTATTTAGTTCGAATAAATTGTTTTTGTATTCATATTCATGCACCTTCCTGCATCATTTCGACTTTGATGTTGCCGTCTACTTGTCGCTATTTCATCAAAATGGTCACCATCAATGGTCACCCTCAATGGTCACCTTCAATGGTCATCACTGTTCACATTACAAATCGGGTCGTGACTTAACACATCAGCTGTTATAGGTACAGACAGAAATAACTTGAGGCGTGAGGTCAATGAACTCAAGAATGAACGGAGGCGTGAGGTCAATGAACTCAAGAATGAAACGGACACATGTCTAACAGATCATTGCGTGAAGATGGGTAAGTTAACAATAATCGATTATTATTATTATTATTATTATTATTATTATTATTATTATTATTATTGTTGTTGTTGCTGTTGTTGTTGTTGTTATTATTATTATTATTATTATCCTTAAGCCGGGCATACACGACAAATCCATCTCTGCTCTCTGTGAACGTTTGACGACCTGACGCCGTCTGTTGATTGTCAGTGGCAGTCGCCATTAAAAGCGGTTGGCCATTAAAAACGATTCGTTTCGCGCTCACGTCTGACGCGTTGCATTCTCCGTAGAATCGCGTCGGCCGCAGTGAGTGTCCTATTCACTGATCCAGGGCTGTGCAACACCTTCCTAGCTAAACGTACTGTAAGCCTACATGAATATGATTTTTTATTGTATCGATATATATCGACTATGATTTCGTTCACATTCTGCCATATCGCAATATTATTTGGAATTATGTCTACTGTTATTTGTCTGGAAATCTAATATCTATAGACGTAAATATGAATACTGAAAATGCCAGTAAGATAAATCATTAATTTGTTAGCATTTACTGCGTTATTGCTTTGTTATTTGGTATATTTATATTTCAGCCGGAAATCTAATATCAAATATGAACCCTGAAATTGATCCGTGTGACAATTTCTTTGAATTTTCATGCGGCGGTTGGGAGCGGCGTTACGCCATTCCGGAGGACCAATCAAGTTATTCTGCTTTCAGTGTTCTCAGAGAGGAGGTGCAGCTAGTGTTGCGAGGTAGGAAAAGAGTTACCATACTCTATATATATATATATATATATATATATAAATTTAATGGCAAATGGGATAAACCCATAAAAACAACGAGCAGCCACATAAATGCAAATAATGATAATATAAAGTTTAAACGGAACAGTAGAGAAAATCCGATCAAGAATGACAAAACAAACTAAATATCCACTGGAAAAAATCCCAATATCTGCAGACGGATCCGTTTCGGCCTTCTAGGCCTCATCATTGCAGCTAGGGTAAAGATGAAGACCAAACGTTATGACCAGCTTGAGCAGGGCCTAGGCTAGCCCGACGTTCAACTGCAGCATCGCTAATGAACCGTCAATGCCAAACCAAGACAGTATATAGATACGGCCCAGGTGTGGATGCAAATATTGGAACAAGACCTATGCGCCTACTTGATTATGGAATGTTATGGGGCGGAAGACTGTTCCAGTAAACACAGAGTATATTTTGTCATTCTTAACGCGTCCTCTACGAGACTCTACCAGACAGCACTAGTCGGTGGTCTCATGGACTAATCGGAGATCTAAAGATACAATCTCTACTGTGCATCAATGGCGGCCCGCTGGATCTCAAAAAGAGAGATTCAATAAAAATATATAAATTTAATGGCAAATGGGATAAACCCATAAAAACAACGAGCAGGCACATAAATGCAAATAATGATAATATAAAGTTTAAACGGAACAGTAGAGAAAATCCGATCAAGAATGACAAAACAAACTAAATATCCACTGGAAAAAAAAAATATATATATATATATATCAGTTGGTAGAGTATCCGAACGCTAATCGGAAGATCTTGGGTTCGAATCCCGATGGGGACATGCGTTTTTTCTCAATAAAGTATATTATTACTATTATTATTATTATCATTATATATATATATATATTTATTTATTCATTTATTATCAAAGAAAGGTAAATACAGTGTTGTTGGAATAAAGAACATAAATACATCGTGTAGCTCTCAACGAATGTTGTCCTATAAATAAATAAATTGTTTAATGAAATTCCTATGACGGGATCCGAACCTGCGACCTCTCGCTGTCAAGGCGAGCGTAATAACCATTTGACCACAGGGGCTTCATTGTTGAATAGATTTAATAACTTCAGATACACTCTATTACACAATAGGTAATGCTGGAAACAAATAATAGCATATAAATAAATCAAGATAACCGTTAACACTGTTAAATTATATACAAATTATCAAAGAAAGGAAAATCTAGTGATGGAATATGGGCGTAACGACCCTTTTTCCACCTTTCCGTCCCCACCCCATTTTTCAAATATTCAAAACTCTGTATCTCATTAACCGTTCATCAGTTTTTCGTCAAACAACTTTTTTTCAGTCTTAGAAAAATCAGTTCTACAACATGTCCAATTTTTTTCCCTCTGGAGCCTGACTTTAAATGGTTGGCGCATCCTATATTATGTCACATCTTATTTAGCTGGGCTTTGTAATGGAAATGCACAGAAAACAATGCTATGCCAGGGGCGTCTTGACCTACAGAAGCTAAACATGACCTCTTCCGTTTTAATATCTAACACTTTGTCAATCGTTTAGTGAATAATAGGTCCATGGTGAAACCAAGGAGGTATTAATTATCTTGTTAATTAATGGCTCAATAGTCTAATATTTAATCAAGGTAATGGCCGATATATCGCATAAAGAGATTAAAATTATTTGTATAATTCTGTAGATAAACAGCATTCCAACCTCAAATTATCATTTTTAATCTAGGCCTATATGATTGATAGCCCTAGGATTTTTCAAATGACTTATCGGCCTTTGCTCCGGATGTTAATACTTTAAAATAAATCAAACTAAACGACTAACAGTTTGTTGTCATTTGTTTAATGTTTAATGTTTTATTGACAGATATTTTGTCCCAAGATGTTAACCCAGAGGAACCAGATTCTTTCAGGAAAGCTAGAGATTTTTACAAATCATGTATGGATGAAGGTACGAACAAATTTGTGTACGAACACTGTGTACATCTTTCATTGTTGAGGGTGCTGCCATACGTTTCGAACGCGACCCAGTTCGGCCGAGATGTATTTAACACCCACAAAATCGGGAAAGTAAACAGGTTTTGTTTGTCTTATTATGAATACATACACTATGCTTACTTTACAAATAAAGGTTTATCTAATCAGTTACTATAGTGAGAATTTTAAGTTTGTTTAACTTAGAATTACGCTCGTTTCTATGTTTATGCCTGGCCAGGATCCATCGACGAAATTGACATTAAATAAAACAAGTTGTTTGCCTTTCCCACAATCTTTTTATTACTTTTAAAGTCAGTACACATATTTATTATAATTATCAGAATTAGGATATTTAGTGGTTCCTCAATTAATCGAATTTACTTAAAATATACAGTACAACAAAATGCATTCCATACATCGCGGCCGAACTTACTCGCAGCCGAAACGGTCCCACACCCTAAAATACAATGCCTCCATGGTGTTACATAGACCTATAATTAACTCTAACCGCTCGATTAAAAGGCAGTCATACCTGTAGAGTGCAACCTAGCCAGCTTGCGTCTTTTGAATTTCTTTTTCGTAGGCATGCCGAGCTTTCTCGCAACTGAGATGCAACTGAATAGCTACAGTAGCTCGACTTGTTTTCGTAAACCCTTTTGTGTTTGTGTTTTGATTCATGCTACTGTACTTAGTAACACGTATAGATGACCACATTTAGGCCCTGGGTTATGATCTGATCGTGATTGATCTATAGTAACTCAATATTAACTGACCGACGCAACGGCTTATGTACACGTTACGACTGATGTGACCATGACCTAAAAGGAAGCCACTACAATACGTTTCCATTAATTACAAACGTTTATGATGGAAATCTTTAATTGATGTTTTTGATTTATAAATTCTTCATTTTAACAGAGGTCAAGCTACACCTACGAATTACAAACAAAAAAGGCAAAAGCCTAGTTCTAGACAATACAAGAATAAAGTAAATAAATTTTAGAATAAAGATGAAAAAAATAAATAAATTCACAATACTCATGCATTGTTTTACCTAATTTTTCACAAGACATCATCGAGGAAAAGGACGCATCTCCGCTAATTGACCTTATGGAGTACCTTGGAGGATGGCCAGTTCTTGGCCCAAGTCCAGGCGGCATGTGGTCCAGTACCGGATATAAATTTGAGAAACTCTGGGCAAAGCTCTCGGGCGAATTCAATAATAATCACATCATCAGTACATACGTGGATAACGATGATAAAAATTCCTCAAGGTACATATTAAAGGTAAATGCACATGACATTTTTTGGTGGTTTCAGTTTCTGTAAAATATCTCATGGATTTTCACGCTGCTAAATATTGAAGTAATTTTCATTTTCGAAATAACTCAGTTGTTTCCAAACAGTATAAGAAACATGCTTGAAGGAATTATAGTGAACACTACAACTGCTTGGAATTGTGTATCAATCTGTTATATATCCCCAAAGCGGGGACACAAGGCGTCGTACGACGGTCGTACCTGTGGGCGCTACGCCGTCGGCTGATTGACGGTGGTAGACTGAACCAACTAAGCTTGGCTTCCATACAATCGCTACACGCTATCGCCGACAGCTTTCGTTAATGCTGATTGGTCGGTCGAATCAGGGAGCCTTCCCGATTGCGTCGGGGACTGCTACGCAGTACAACGACTCTGCACTGAAAACACTGTAGCGACTGTAGCGATTTTAAGGAAACAAGGCTTTACAAACGATAGATTGCACGCGATTTGTGGCGTTGCGTTCTCCATAGAATCACTTTGGCCGACGACCGTCGGTCGCGGTGAATGACCGGATTTAGGATTTAGATAACATGTCAAGAGTTTTACATCTTTACCGGAACAAATTTACACAAGCTTAACCTTTATCTTAACACATAATTCATGTTATATTTATTTGCATATTTATGAGATTACATGTAATCTTACATTGCTATCGCACATTGGCATTTAATGCTGTTTGATTTGATTTGATTTTATTCGGAAGTAATATACAATACAATAAAATAAATCTATAAGGAAAAACACTTCCATGGATAACCCCAAAACTCGAGAAATATTATACCAGCTTATATCCATTAGTGTACATTTAACTGGTTTAACCTACTAATGATGAAAACGGGAAAACATTAATCCGGTAAAATTTACACATTGAATTTTTTTTCCTAGACATCCTTCTTCCTCACTAACAAAACAATAATGACATTTCAATGCATTGTGCTAACGTTTAATTGAGAATATATATTGTTTGCACTAATTGTATTTTAGAAGTTAAGAAATTAACTATATTACAATTATGAAATGTAAAATGTAGTAAAATTCTATTTAAAAGTTGAAAAGGTCTTTAAAATTATATATTTTTATATCGATAAAATTAATTATGTTTACTATTTTACTGCAGATTGATCAACCAGAATTAGGTATGCCGAGCAGGGAGTATTATTTGTACAGTGAATATGCCGACGTATGTATTATGAAAAATGACGTAATATAATATTTTATCAATCACATGACAACTTAAACCACGTGAGGTTTTAAAATTCTAAAATTTGAATTCTTCGGTTAATATATATTGTAATTTAACATTTTATCGACATAATTTACAATTCGATAGTGTAGGCCTACACTATGGTGTTTGGCTTTACATTAATCATCTTTATAGCGTAACGTGTTACGTGTTAAAACAAACAAAAACGATAAAGCGTTGAATTCTTAACTTTTCAGCTAATTTTAATTTCCGTCGAAAAAAATAACGATACATTTTAATGCCTTATATCAGATAAAAGAAGCGTATTTAACATATATGACAACAGTAGCAACGATGTTAAATGGTGATTCACTGATGGTAAAACAAGATATGGCTGATCTGTTGGATTTTGAAACAAAGTTAGCCAATGTGAGTGAGTTCCTGTTATATTTTAAGAATAATGTTGCTGTCAGTTGTATATAATACTTGTCTTACTTTCGAGATTATATCAATCAATCGATCACATTTTATTTATTATGTGATTAATCATTGATATAAATTTAATCATGAATCTGCAAGTGGATTTTGTAGGTCATTTTCACATAATGATAATGAGAATATTCAAATATTTAATTTATATCTTCTTGGGCCTTGTAGTTAACGACTCCTGAAGAGGAACTTAGAGACAATGAAGCTTTGTACAACCTGATGACGTTAGAAGAGTTGTCCGCATATGTACCATTGGTAAGAGTCACGTGATAATCATATATATTGTAGGTATATATCTTGTTACAAGACGGGTATTATTTTTTCTGTATATCATCTATTACTATGATACTTACTCTCCATGATGTAAGTAATATTACAGCGTACCGCAAATTTTAGGACAAAGTCCTATAAACACTTCAGATATTTACCCTATCCCACCCATACTCACTGCCGACCAGTCGGATGGATGCCTTATTCCAAAGATGTAAAATTATTATTATTACCATATACAATACACAAAAGAATTTCGCAAATTGAAGATGGGAAACATTAATACTGTACGAGAATTAAGCAGGAGAGCAGACTCAGATAAGTAATATAAGTAATAGTACTGTAGTATTAATTTTATGGTTTTTGTTTCTGTAGATAGACTGGCGATACTTCTTTGATACTATTACACCTGAAAAGGTCAAACCAATTCTGGATTCTGAGCCAATCATCAACCGTAATCCCAGATTTATTCGTGAAGTTTCGCAATTAGCCGTGGTTGACACGCCACCAAGGTTGGTTAAAAGTTACTAGCCGTATGAGGTCGCTATTTACTAAGGACAAAGTTCCTATTACATTATTATAACAAAATAGGTGTTATTATTACATATGTTAGATTTATATAGCACTTAACACCAACAATTCATCTAGCGCTTCACACCCCCGGTCATTTGATTAAACGCCTATGGAACCCAAACTCAAGCTCCCCGAGGAAGTATTCCATAAAGTTGCAGCAGCACATCAGCAGCTACAAACCACTTCTAGTTCATTATCAAACAATAGTGAAGTATACTTTTGATGTGGGTATTGGTTCAGGAGTACTATTGCAGAAAATATATAGAACTACTTATTTCAAAATCTGTTAATTTACATTTTGCTGTAACAGCAGCTAAGGGAATATTAAACTAGCTACTAAAGAGGCCTTCACAGAAATCTAAATTGATCGAACATTTCGGCCCTGGCTGGATACATTAAGCCCACCTACGCAATTTCAAAACGTCACTGTCTAGCTTAAAATATATAAATATTGTTAGTTCTTACTACTAAACCTCGTCCTTTTAAAACAAGTACCGGTACATCATTATTAAAATGCACATTGTGAATAGAATTGGATGACATGTAGTAAATTATGTCTCTATTGCACAATACATTGAACGCATTCTGAAGCAATGGTTGTGATGACAATAATACTATTATGAAGATGACGATGAATATCATTTAAACGATGGCGTTAACATTGATGATAATTACTATTATTAATATTGTTTATTTGTTGAAAATATGTTAATAAAGACTATGATGATATACATTCGCACCTTATGTTTTTCATTGTTTACTAAGGGTCATTGTCAACTATTTTCTATGGAGACTAACCATGAATCGTATACAAAATATGGGTGAGCGATTTCGTCACGTCAGACAGCAGTATTACAAGGTGAATTATTATATTATATTTTGACAAATTATTACATGAATTCCACATAGGCCTATTTGATATTACCCTATGCACGTGATTCGATAATAGGCCTAATGCAAATTGTTGAATAGTATTCTATGCAAATGAACCAATATTATCGATCCAGTTCTAATTATTCAAAAGTATTTAATGCAAATTAATCAATTTTATCATATGCCAATTAGTTCTTCAAATGTTAATTATCCAATGTATCCGTTAAAGTTTAGTCAATTTTATCTGATACCAATTATTGAATATAAGTCAATGCCAATTTAAGACCAGTCACGGTGGGATGTTAGCTCATACCATCTGAAGTTATTAGTCAACGCTCCCCACTCCTCTAAAGATAAATCCTAGTCAGCTCCTGCATATAACCCAAGTTATCATGTCTCTCTAGGCGCCGGCACCCACAGCAGTTAACGCAAACGGATGCTGAGAAAAATTATGCTTTTATCAATGTTTCATAGGCATACGATATACTATGAAGTAATGACTAAGAAAGATTTGTGTATTAGGCACTTTACGCAAGAGGACGGGGAGCCATCGAGAACGGCAATTCGGATTGAGCGCCCTATTCTTTACTGTGGTCTTCACGCTCTGATGAGCACAAAACCACCGTCCACCCGTCTTACCGTCCTGTTGCGTAATGCGCCTATTAATACATTCGTCTAAAACCCGAAATGCACTGACCTAGTGGCGCTCTTCTCTTATAACAGGTACTTTATGGTGCAAGTTCGGAGTCATCTCGGTTCAGATCATGTACTGACTATGTCAACAGTATTTTGAATTTCGCTGTTGGTCGAATGTACATCGATAAAACGTTCACAGGTGATAGCAAGGAAAATGTACGCAACTATTTAATAATTTGATTTTTTTTCCCCTATTAGAATTCCACCTTAAATCTGAGCCAAAGGGTTTCTTCGCCCAAGCACTTGTCGTTTGGAATCTACACCAATTCAAGTCTATCCTTAAAACTCACATGTTCCAATAGCGCTTTCAGTGGCGGATCCAGAGATGTCCGGAAGAGTGGAGGGGGGGCCCAAAAGTGGAGCCGATCGAGATAACATTGCCCTAGTAATAGGGGTCCGGAGCATGCCTCCACAAAAATTTGGTGATCTAGACGCCCGAAAATAACCTATAAGGCGTTTTGGGCGATTAATTTTATTCTTTTTCTTTCTTCTTTTCCACACCTAAGCAGATAGTTTGTTTAAATGTGTCGTCCTGGTTTGAAAATTTTGTTATCTACTCCAGTGGGTTTAATATAGGGCCTAGTTTATCTCGCCAGTTTTGATAAAACAAAATTTAAAAATTGAGAATATATTCTCTAGTTTTGTTTTAAGTTAAGGGGCTACTCGTCACCTGGTGACCGGTTTTACAAAATTCTAAACACAATGATACATCAAAAGAATTTTTTTTTTAATCCAATGTTACTTTTTGTAGAATGGAGAAATAGAAAAATAAGTTACACAATGAAGTATAATGAATGCTCAACTAAATGAATAATAACGAGTCGAATGACTGAGCGGTTAAGGCAGATTACGCCGCAACCTTCAGCCATAATATCGGCGCTGGCACGAGTGGCACGCTCGCCTATGGTAAGGTGGAATAAGTCTTCTCGGATAAGGACTACACACCGTAGGCTCAGTGTACACAATTGGCTCATGTGCACTTCAAAGAACCAAGTACATCAGTAGGGGGCCACGCCGGTGTACTGGTTTTTACAGGCCCTGTTACCCTGCGGTTATGGAACATTAGGTCCTTTGCAGGATGTACCTACGTATAACGTAATAACTCATTTTCTTCGAGAAAACAATTGTTTAGTTGTTACGTAGTTGTTACGTTATCTCATATAACTTTTTTTACAACAGACAGTGGAGATGATCGACTATTTGCGAGAAGCTTTTATTGAAATGCTGAAATATAACGACTGGATGGACGAAGATGCAAAAATTGTTGCAGCAGAGAAGGTTAGATGTAGATCAATAGGCCTAATTATAATAAAACAAACGTTAGAAATTTCAGTTTCTATAAGATAAGGTTAACTAATATTGACTATATTAATAGAAAATCAAAATAATGTATATATAATTTTATTATTTAGGCCAATACGGTATTTGTTTAATACAAAAAAAAATTGTATACATAGGCTAAATAGGCTGTAAAAAACATTGTTTGTTGCAGTGCAATGCAATGTATGACCAAGTGGGATACCCTGATTGGATCAAGGACGATAACACTTTGGACAAAGAATATGCTAGTGTAAGTACCTATCAAGGCATGTTGCATGCAATTTGGCCTCTTGGTTACGATAACAATTGGTAAATCATTAGTATGTAACCGTTTTGAGGTAGGGTATTAAATAGAACTGACTGATCGTTTTACTCAACGAGTACCATCTAAACGAATATAATACGTTTTACTTTTGATATAGTATGTGTATTATTATTATTATTATTATTGTTGTTATTATTATTATTATATCGTTTAATATCTTGTTCATTTTGGAACGAGATTTAAACGTCTAAAAGCTTGGTACTATAAATACTCGACATAATGAGTCATGTCTGTATACGGTACAACATTATTTAGCTACAGTATATTGTTTTTTTAATGTTTTTGTTAAAACAATCTAATAAATATTCTTCTATAAAGAACTTCGCTAGCAAAGCAGTACAATTTATTTTAATAAGAATCAGTAAAAAAGTTTTGCCGATTTCAGGCTCAAAATGTTCTTATTCTGTTCTTATTTTTACACACTTTTCAAACATAGAAAATTATTATTGTACAGCAGTATCTATTACTGTACTGTATTTTAGAGTGTATAACATACATAGTCACGCCTACTGCAAATAAGGTATGGATAAGATATGTAGGATTTTCTGAGGTTTTTTTAAATATAAAAACCTTATTTGACATTTTACCTCAGCTTCAATTTGTTCTTATTTTGTTTTTAATTTTTTAGCAATTTTAGCCTTAGTGTTCTTATAAGTGTTCTTATAAAAAGAAAGTGTATTTAATAAGCAACTAATGTAATGAGAGCTCTTTCCTATGAAGGATCGAAAGTATTGTGACACGTTGAATTCTTTTTTTAGATTGATTTAGGCGACTCCGACTACTTTGGAAACGTGCTTGCATACTTGAACTGGACGGCTCAAATGAATTTTGGGTACTTGCGTGAAAAAGTCGACAAAACAGAGTAAGTGAAACCCGCATAAAGCTACATTTACACTAGACACGGTTACGACACGACAACGACATATCATCCTGTAGTTTGTATTCTTCAACACTGCGCGCACATCAGCTGTATGGTGACGTTTTTAAATTTAAATTTTGTTCTCATTGTGTTTTTATTTCTTTTATTCGTTGCATATAAGTATTAAAGTAAATACGTATGTATTAAACCATTTTTAAATAATTTTTGTTTTGTAAAAGGTGGAGTATAGGCCCCGCCTTGGTGAACGCGTTCTACAGTTCGAGTAAAAACACAATTGGTAAGTAATGACATGCTATCGTCATAAAATAAAGCAGGGGTTCTCAAATATATCGCAATAGGGACAAAAATTGTTCCTTGAATAATTTTGAAGGACCAGGGCAAGACGTGTGCTAGCGTGTAGCACCACCTGAGCGCCGCAGATACGAGTCGAGGGAGGGTTTAGGAGGTGGGGGGGTCCCCTTCCCGAATTAGACATTTTTTCGAAAATAGCCGCTAGGCGCTTATAGAGATAGAGGGCATCTTGAAATAAGAATGTTACCCTTGTGTTTGGTACTGCAAAAGCCAAAATGTTATAGGCCTATCACACAATGGGTCATCGGTAATACAGTATTCTTTCTTAGTTCTTCCGATTTGATTGATTAAATCGCTACAATTTGTGGGGCAATATATAGGCCTAATCGGCAAAACAGAATGCAAAATTATTAATGTTAGAATTCTAGGCCCAAGCCTAACGGAAAATATTAATAAGCATAACAGGCACTCGCGGACCGGAGATGACCCGCGGGCCGCCCGTTGAGAACCCTGATATAAAGAAACTTCAATGTAGCTAAGTGGTTGCCTTGCAATCAGGTTCGTGAGCTAAAATTTTGTTCAAACACCATTACTTTTCTCATGACTAAAACAACTCCAATTCTAACCTTGGTAAGTTTTATTTTTTCAGTAGGCCTTTTAAAATTCGATCCTGTAATTAGCATGTAAGAAAAACATATATTTATTCACTATTAATTAATAATTAAGCTTTATAATTTAGGTTGTATTATTGTTAAAATAGTGTTTTAAATATTAATTTATTTTATTTTGTTTATTGATATTTTCCATACGTAGTCAAATTGGTCTCGGATTGCCTATAAGGAAACTTATCACTTTCGAAGTTATCCCTATTCACTATAAAATATTACACACGTATTTTGATTGGTTGGCATTAATGACATTTTAGTTTAATCAAACATTAGTTTAATAGGTAAAATTCTATTTAACTTTATATTCTCATTGTCAATAAATTCGTCATAACATTTTGTTATATTTAATTTTGTTCTCTGTAAATGATTTCCTCTCATTAATTGGTTGGGTATAAACTAAACTAAACCAATTAGTTTGCACTTTTTTTTTGCAGTTTTTCCAGCCGGGATTCTCCAACCACCATTTTACAACAACAAGTCACCATGGTATTTTTATCTGTATTTTATGTGTAGTAAGAGCGCATGGTATGCCTGTGTGTTGTGTGTGGGGGTCTGGGGGTTGTTTACTATTCTTACTGTAGTAGCCTAATTAGAATGTAGGTGTGTCTCATGGATACTGGTGAATAAGATGCACGGAATGTGTTTTCATGAAATAGCGACTAATTTGACAAATGACGTGTTCTTATCTTGATTGACACAGATATGTTTTTATTGCAAGGTATCTGAATTATGGTGGAATTGGTGCCGTAATTGGTCATGAAATTACTCATGGTTTTGATGACAGAGGTAAGGCGGGGAATTGTTATTTTGTAACCGTCTTCTCGTTCGTTGATCTGTTATCACACACACACACCCACATACACACACATCTTATAAAATAGGATTTAGAAGGACATAGAATAAGTGAAAAATCACATATCACATGTGCGCAAGGAAACTAAAATAATCTAACATTACAAGTAGTCTCTTATACACATCTAGATGTGTATAAGAGACAGGGCACATCATGACTATATATGGTCATGATAACATATCATCATAACCATATATAGGCACATCATGACTATATATGGTCATGATGACATATCATCATAACCATATATAGGCACATCATGACTATATATGGCCATGATAACATATCATCATAACCATATATAGGCACATCATGACTATATATGGTCATGATAACATATCATCATAACCATATATAGGCACATCATGACTATATATGGTCATGATGACATATCATCATAACCATATATAGGCACACCATGCCTATATATGGTCATGATGACATATCATCATAACCATATATAGGCACACCATGCCTATATATGGTCATGATGACATATCATCATAACCATATATAGGCACACCATGCCTATATATGGTCATGATGACATATCATCATAACCATATATAGGCACACCATGCCTATATATGGTCATGATGACATATCATCATAACCATATATAGGCACACCATGCCTATATATGGTCATGATGACATATCATCATAACCATATATAGGCACACCATGCCTATATATGGTCATGATGACATATCATCATAACCATATATAGGCACACCATGCCTATATATGGTCATGATGACATATCATCATAACCATATATAGGCACATCATGACTATATATGGTCATGATAACATATCATCATAACCATATATAGGCACACCATGACTATGATAACATATCATAACCATATATAGGCACATCATGACTATATATGGTCATGATGACATATCATCATAACCATATATAGGCACAGTATGACTATATATGGGCATCATAGTGTGGACAGAGCTTAATATTACATATTCTCAAATGTAGGTCGTCAGTACGATAAAGACGGGAACCTGGTGCAGTGGTGGAGCGACGAATCAATCGAAAAATTCACTGAACGGGCTCAGTGTATAATTGATCAGTATGATAGTTACGTCATGCCAGAAAATGATATGAATGTAGGTAAAAGCTCAATTTACTGATTATATCTATTATTATTAGTTATTAATAATACTGCTATTATTGTTATTATTATTACTATTATTATTATTATTATTATTATTATTATTATTATTATTATTATTATTATTATTCTGCTAATATTCATTGTCATCATCATCATTAATATCAACAAATTATTATTATCATTTATTATTATTAGTTATTAATAATATTGCTATTATTACTATAATTATTATTATTATTATTATTATTCTGCTAATATTTACTGTCATCATCATCTTTAATATCAACAAATTATTATTATCATTACTCGCTCTCTCATATTTCCTAATCGCTATTAAATGTTTAGCAATAAAGAAAAAAAAATCTTGTTAACACAATTGCTGATAAACGTTTTCTTTTGTGTTTTATTTTTAGTTAAATGGTATACAGACCCAAGGTGAGAATATTGCCGACAACGGTGGACTAGCGGAAGCATATAGAGTAAGGCGAATTTTATTACTCCATGCCACGAGTGGTGCTCTTACCACTATTAGTACTATCACTCTCAGTGCATCGTTATAGTACGCAGGTACCATTACATTACAGCGAAAATTAATGAATAATATTGTTGTATTATTCTATTTAGAGTGAATTTCACTATTTAAAAAAAATTATAGTGGAATACCACTCAAGAAACAATGAAATTAAAGTGAGCTCTGTATGCACTCTTTAAGAGTGAAATTCACTCTTCTTGGATGTAGAGAGCACATGGAATAGGTACAAAAACACGTTATTGAACATCTTAGTATGGATCATTATGTGGGTGGTATTTGCAGGCTTACAGGTCATTTATTGAAAGTCGTGGAAGAGAAGAACCGCTACTCCCTGGTCTCAACTACACACAAGATCAACTCTTCTTCATTAACTATGCACAAGTAAGTCCATTTGTTCGCATATTCCGATTCTCTAATACTTCTAAACTTTCATTCTCATCAACCATCCAAGATAAAATTACTGGCACACTAGAGTAATCCGAAAGGTTCACTGATTAATCTCAGATAAGATTGTATAATACATACTCCAAGTATCAAAATGCACGCCATCGTGTCGGGATTCAATATTTCGACATTAATTATGTCATCATCATCAATTCCTGATCTAGAGTAATTTTATCTAGAGTAATCCCGTTATGCTTTAAAAACATTCACATTATATGAAACTACATTAGCCCAAACTTTTTATTTCATTTTACTTGTGAGCAAAAGAAATCTCTGATGTTTTGTAGATCCCAAGCCCCGGGATGGTAAAAGTATCTAAAACCACCAAACTGCAGTAATATATTACTGTAGTGTACATCTTTTTAAATTTCGTGTACTAGGTATGGTGCAGTGCTTTCCGTCCAGAGGGCGCCACTAGTCAGATTCTATCAGGAGTACACAGTCCAGGACGATACAGGTAAAAAAACGTGTTTTAATACAACCGTTTGATAGAGCTGACTGATTTAAATAAATGAAATGAAATAATTTCACTATCTTTGCATTATAAATACTGATGGTACTAAACATTATTAACAGGTTCATCATCTGAACAAATAATGCTAAAAGGGGCTATGTAAATTATGTTTTGTGCGTAAAACTGTACAGTATTTATCACATTATGCTAGGATTAGGTACGGCAATGGGGTTAAGCTTTGTACCTAGTGGACTGTCATTGGTTCCACTCGAAATTTTTATTAGTTTCTCTCTTGTAGGTGTGTCTTTATTATGGTATTGATTGCCATATATTTTCCAATAGTGCTAACTAAAACTGACTTCTTTTTGTAGAGCGATTGGAGCAACCCACAACAGTGACGATTTCGCCAGAGTATTTAGTTGTCCAAAGGCGAATCCACCACAAACGAAGTGTAAAGTGTGGTAAACAAACAAAATGACGAATTTCGAATTACAATTGCTCAATCAATCATCTCTGACAAGAAATAATTCACCTCGAAGCTCTTTTGAACCTCAATTTGAATAATCTCTATCAGATATTGATAACAATTCTGTGTGAAAATTCCAAAAACATTTTGTAATTTGTACATAGAAAAGTGTAATTTTACAAAACAGTGATACATAGATTAGATAGGTAGGCCTACCGTGATTTCATAAAATGAGTGTTTGGCGCGTCATATTCTTAGTAACTCTTGTCATCTCAATTGACAATATATATATAGTATATAAACATAATAGTGTAGATAAGAAAGTCATTCATCGTTTTGAAGATAGCCTTTTAGTATCAGACTAATGACTTTTGTATGAGCGGCCACCTGGGTCGCTTTTAGTGTAAAATCTGTGTAATACTGCAGTTTCTACCCATCTACATTTACCTTGTAATGAAGTTACAGGTTTGTGTAGTTAAAAAAAATAATTTGATGTTTGAAAACAAAGAGTAATGTCCACCTTAAACAGATGTTTTAAAATATATTTTAATAGATATGACATAACAAATTTTGGCTGTCCACTTCATATCATTCAATATTTAAAAATATACAGCAATAAATTATGTAAATTTTTAAACGGTAAACTTTCACTATTTCGATGTTGAGACAAATGTTAATAATACAAACTAAAGTTTGAAAATAAATTGTAAAATATTCCGTAACTTGAACTACATAGGCCTATTGTAAATAGTTTGTGTTAGCAACAATGCATAGGGGCCTATACTTTAATAACCAGCATTTGATATTTTGCATTAAAATAAGTTACAAAATTTTAATTTGAAAATCATTTATTATGAATTAATGTAAAAATCTCATATAAATTGATTCAGGTTTAAAATATTTTAATAACTTTCTAGTTACAGTACTGTATTTACAATGGTACTTTAATCAGTTTTAAGTAATATTTCGTAAATATGAGTAAACGTTACCGTAATAAATGACCTGACTATTCTGTACTAACCACAATGAATAATTTATTTTATGTTTGGAAATAGAAGATTGTAATTAAAATTATTGTAATTGTCCACACTTAATATTTTGTATCAGCATGTTAAAGTATTTAACCATCAAAAGAAAGAAATCACAAAGACTACTAAAGTTTGAGAATTTTAATTTTGAAAACCATTTATTATGTATGTACACATCTACAGCTTAAATATAACAGAGTCGAGTATGGTTTCCGAACCAAAATATGATATATATTTTGAAATAAGATCTAGCTACAGTATTTACTATGTACATTAACCAATTTCAAGCACCTAATCATCAATTACTTTCCTTCATTATATTTCTTTTAAAAATAGCAGCATAGTTTGAGGTATACTGTATCAAATGCTTGAGTCATTATATAGATTCTGGTGTGATGATGAGAACTCAATAAATGAAGGGAATCTCTATGTAAGTTAAATTGTTGATAGTTATGATTTTAAGACAGTGGCGATGATAATGTCATTATTGTGGTGTTGACGTCGTCGTAATGGGGATTACGTCAATATTATGATGATACCATCATTATAATGACGATAGTGATATATGGTGAAAGTCATTATCATTGTCATATTCTAATGGTGATAATTATTCTGGTGTTGACGATCATAATAACGATGACGGCTACGGTAATGATGATGATGTGAAGGCGATGATCAAGACAAATATTGCGACGACGATGATGACTACGATGACAACGACGATGGTGAAGATGATGACGATGATGATGATGGGAATATTGATGATGATGATGCTGGTGGTGGTTGTGTTGATAATGATGATGACGATTATGACGATGATGGTTGTAGTAGTGGTAAAGACGACACGACTACACCGGAGATAAAAATTATGATATTATGTTGATAATGATGAATATAAAGATGGCAATAGTGATGTCGATCATATTGAATAAAGTACACCGATGACAAGTACATAGAAGAATGAAAGAGGAGGAAGAAAAGAAAAAGAAGAATAAAAAAGGAGATAATTTAGTCAATATTTATTATGATACACAATATAAGGATGTTATTGAAATTTTAACTGAAACAGTTAACATTTTGATAATAATTCGATGAGGTCAGGAGATTTAATAGGAACACTTCAGGTAGGACAAAAATATCATACCTATATTGCTATTAGAAGTAATTGATCGGGCTGCTGGTTTTGTTTTTAGCTACACAATTTACTATAACACACCATCTTTTGGATGGAATGTATAGCCGTTGGTTCGGAGAACATCATTTAATAGAGAGTAGGTGATTTCTATGGAAGTAAGTAGTACTATCGACACTCTGCCTGCAAAACACGGAGATCTCCGTGTTTCAGGGGGTTTTTTTACGGAATCCGATAGATGGGGTAATTACCGACATGTACTAACAATTTGAACAATATTCAGTCTGAGCCGTAAGTATTTCACTATTTGTTTGATTACATTGAGCCTAGCAGTATTAAATTCCGTAAATCTCCAAAAGTGAGGCATTTTCATTTTACTGTTACGGGTCACAGATTGTGATTAGAATAAAGTGTTTGTTACTATTGTAAAGCTAAGATGTTTGTAGTTCTTGTAGTATTCATTACATGTCAATCTTAGCACATGCGCACTCTTAACGAGCTTCGGAAAAGTGTTAATACGCTAAAATGCCTGGCGGTGGCTGATACTTTTTTTTCAAACCCCTGGCGGTCAGAGGTGCCGAGATTTGAGCGGGTGGCTAAAGAGGTAAATGCTCTCCCAGTGTATACAGTGGCTTGTGTGCACTATAAAGAACCCAGTACACCTTTCAAGACGAGTACGGGGATACCCTGGTGTACCGGAACAGACAGCCCCTGTGGTGGGCGACGAGAGTTGCTGGTACCGGTTTACCGGGTAGCACAGGCACGGAGGAACCCATAGAGGGGCGAAGAAAATCATTGATCGAGTTCCTAGTCCACATATCAAGCGCCCTGAGCATCTTACATAATAGATGGATATGTGCGCATTATTATTTTTTATTATTATTATTATTATTATTATTATTATTATTATTATTATTATTATTAAACTAATTAAAAGGGTCGCTTTCGTTGAAAAATACACTTTCATAAAGGACTTAGGTTACCGTACGCTTGAGCGTTTGTACCACTAACTTTGTTGAGTACCAAGAATATAACAGCAAACTAATTCACAATATTAAATAGATTGGTGATTGTTAAGAATACATTAAGCTTTAAAGCGATTTGTTCATAAGCTCTTGAGTACCGTGTATCCTAAATGACCGGAAGCGCGTACTGGTATATAATTATTTAAATTAGGTCACGCACTGAATAGCTTACCACAGTGTATAGTTCAATCTCTGAGGAGCCAACTAAAGTTAGCTACAATAATAAAATTCATAAAAGAGTATAAAAAGTGAAAATGTTTCGTTTTGTGCGTAAATGAACTTTACGTCCCCTAATACGCAGCTATTGGAGGACCACCATCTGATGACCTTAATGCAAGAGTGTGCACCCACCACGGTTTTGTTTTGTTTATTTGTTGTAAAGTTGCAATGGGTGCACGTTAATTTCAGTAGTACGAATTTACAGCGTGCACACTTCGGTCAGAATTCTCTTTCCTTTCTATTCTCTTTCTCTTTGCTTTTATTTTCCAATCAACAGTGTAAAAAACCTTCTTTCTTACATTTGCAAGATATTTTCGACAACGTCAGCCGCCCCTGTATTATGGTTAAGTCATTGCATTTGTAACAAATAATAATCCTATTGTTTGATATAGCTAAAAAGTACAATAATAAACTTTTTATATAATAATGTTATATTATTATTCATAACAATATAAAGAATTCTATCTAATATTCATAATACAATTACTACAGCAGAGTAATCAATTTATGTAGTAAACTATGAAAATAAATGTTAATTTTATCTTGAAACCGTCACGTAGGTGGACTAAAAACCATAATATAAATATAGCACTAAAATCAGTTTTTACATAATTTTAACATCAGAATCTCTTTTTTTATGTATGCAATCATTCTATTAACATTATATAATTGAAAATATGATTTTCTTTATCAGAGAGCCGCACTCATTATTACAATGAAAACACAATCTATATATTACAATTTACTGAAGTACCGTACATAATATAAATAAGAAATTTTTTAATAGTTGTTTATAACTAAGAAATACAAATATCTGACCAAATCTTGCAAGTATTCAGTTTATTAAACATGTTACTATTATTTTCCCCCTGAATACTGTATAATTATATTTTCGATATTATTAAATTATGGAAACATTAGGTTTTATCATGCTTTCAAAAACAGAAAATCTTAAATACAAGATAAAATATTAAATTTAGAAAAGTAATTCAATTTAGTTTTATCTTGCAATGTTATTGTTACGCATCAAAATCGAAATAAATGAAATGAAGCGGGAATAACATCGCGTTTCCTGTTACCGTGGCAAAAACGACGTAAAAAAATTGCCGTTTTCCAAAAATATCACCCTCTATGTTCAAGAAAATTATCGCAAAATGTAAATGTTGATCCGCGTTTCGTTACCTGCAGGAAATTCCGATACAGAGTGACACAAAATTCAAAATCCAGTTTGTAGAGGTTAGATTTTTTATATTTCGACTGTTGGACCAGCACTGTCTTTGAGTTTGCTTGTGAAATCTGTTTTTGATGCCTATCACTTGCATTTGTGAATTTCTATGGTTTTCTTGCATTGTTTGCACTCTACGTAGCAGCACCAATGAAACTTACAACTACAACGTTCTGTGATAGTTTCTTGGTACGTGTCAAACCCACGTCCACAACACATCAGATCGCATCCATCCATTGCTTTTGAGGTTTTATTGCATTCTCTGAAAAATTAAATAAAAAATGATAATATTATAACATAACGAATAGTATAATATAACTGACGTGGAGTTTGGCTTGGTTCTGAATTCAATAAGAATCATACAATTTTATCACGACTACAACAGGATCACTGCCTAAACCTATAACATTAATTTTAAAAAGCTAAGATAAGCGTTGCATGACAGCAATATGCTTGATTCGGAATAGATTCTCCAATATAAATAATAAATAAATGAAAACGATGATAATAATAATTATTGTTCTTCCTAAAATTAAAGCCCAGTTTTGGGGCCGGGGCTTCCATAGACTTTAGCAGTTTTATTCTCTAATTAGAATAATAAAGATAAAAGACATTTGTTAATTTAGGACCACAGTAAATTGGTCTGTAATTGGAGGGGTCTTTAATTAGAGGGGGACCTGTATTATGGTAGGCCCGTGTGCACTTGGACACACACTACTCAGCAATTATCATGAAAAATCTATCTTAGACTATTACCCACCTTCCTTTTGTACCAAGTGAGCCGGTGGCACGGTCAGGGTTACAAAAGTCCGGCGACGGTACAAGGTATATCAAGTCGGTCGAAGTGAACGGCTTGAAGTTCTCGTCTGCTGGAAGAAGGTACTTCCGTTTACCGCTGCTTTTTACTTCAACAACCTCTGTTGCACCGTCGAATTTCTCCTTTAATTTCTCGCCGACGGAGCGAAACGTGGGCATGGCTCTCCAGCACGTCTTCATCTCGCATGAGCCCGATACTCCGTGGCACTTGCACTCCGTCCTCATATTATTTTCTATCAACTGGAAAAAAAAATATTCATAAGTTTAGTTAAAGCAACGAAGGCACATGACTATAAATTACGCGTATCGGTTGCCTATAGAGGGCGCTGAACTCCAATAGTTTATTGCAAATTTTTTTTTTTTTTTGTATATTTAGTGACAATATAAAAAACGAGATTATTTATCAATTGTTAACACAAACGCAAAAATGAAACATTCATCCTTCCGATATGTGTTGGAATACAAAAATCCTGAGACATCCGCCTTGTGGTTGGCTTATTTATATCTGACCTTGATACACTAAATTTCGCGAGCATGTCGACACATTTCATGACAAACACGACTAAACAACCATGTGGTCGTGGTTTGATTCATGATATTCGGAGGCAATTTAGTAATAATAAATTAAGATGATGATCCTAAGGTTCATTGATCGGCGGATGAATCCTCGACTCGATCTTACTTCATGTGTACCCTTTAGTTGATCGAGTATCAAGACATATCCATAACATTTACTATTACTAGTGTAATGTGTAAATTGTTGAATCCTCTCGTAGTTTTTCTGATTACATTGAAAGACTGAGCATGCGTTTCCCGTTAAAATCTTTACTTTGTAAATATGATTTGATTACATTATATTTTGGGCATTTGTCTGTAGTTATTACGATCTACTACTACTACAATCACTGCTTATAACAGCTTATAACAGCTTCCAGACACTTATATCTTGCTACTCAATTACCAACAGCCAAGTGTCCCGAAAAATAAATGTTCCAATATGGATCATTCTCACGTAAAAGCCCGCCCCCAAGCGATATGAGCTGGATTTTCTTAATAGGGAGGTGATAGATGTTTCTTGAGAGTATATTAACATACACTTATACATTAATCAGTGCTGACACTGATTTTAACGTATAACAAGAATGATAAACTCCGTTTATACGACTATGATTTATACTTATTTACTTTATAACGATATCACGCCTGCATGACATTATACCATTGTCCGTTATAATCTCTTTAGAGTGGGGTCAAATTAATGTCAGCTATAGATGATCTTCAAAACGACAAACATGTCATAAATAAGGGGACATGTCAATTTCAGTATTTAATGTTGCACTGAATTTCAAAACGGTTACTGAGCCAGAACCTCGAAACTGTCAGCATCTTTGGCCAAGCGAAGGCTAGGCATATTCAGACGATCTTTACGAGCGAGTTTCGAGTATGGGAACTCCAAAATGGATGACCTGCGATTTATGCGATACACGCACCTTAAATCAAGTCGCGATAAAACACGCTTGCCCAATGAAATACTAATTTTCTGGGAAATTTTCAACCACAACCCTTGCTGTCCCCCATAAAAGAACTTGCAGTCTCCTATAAAAGTACAGAATCAGCCATTAACATTATTTATTATTTTTATAACTATTATTTTATTTATCTTTCTTTAAGTTCTTTGGATATTCGCGACAGCTTCTGTTAGAGGAATCTGAGGGTTTAAGTAAAAATGACATAAATCTTTTTAAGAGCTTAGGTAATTGTTTTAAAATCATAAATCTTACCAACTTCTGGAACGTGTGTATATGCAAGAATGGTTATGCTAGTGTTTTCTAATAGGCCTATACTTCGACAATTTACCATCCCAACAAGATCACAGAACCTGAGCGTACCAACACGCAAGCAACCATGGTTTGTGCCTCTGTCTTGTGACGGGAAGAATTTGAAGTTGTTGCGCGCATGCGTAGACCCCGTGCACGTTCACTACGAACGCGCTCTTGTCACAAGAAGCACTCATAGCTAGTTAGCGCAAAGCAAAAAATAAAATATAAAATAAAAATTAAAACTTTGTTTTGCGCGCGGATTTCTTATATCCGACTCTTTAAATCAATCGTTAGTATGATGGTATATTAAGTGCATACCCCTTGGTCTTAGTAGTAGCTCGGTGGTCTAGACGACGCTGCCACCAGGTAAGTTTGACATGCAACAAACATATGGACATCATTTTTCGTAATATGGATAACGAACGCACACAACGATTGCTTTCAACACTTCTTATTATGACAGTAAAAACTTCATAACACATTTTAAATCAATATATATCAATCACCTCCTGATGAAGGCATATAAGTAAAGATAACGACATGCCTGTCGTATATATAAATTATTTTCATCATGATTCGTCAAAAGCGGACTCGGACACAAGAGTGTTCTAACCCCAGCTCCCGTAATCATTAGCTTCACTTCTTACAATAAGTTTTGTTGCATTGTAGGTCGGTAGGATACAATGTATCATCATCATCATCATTATTTCATTTAATACTTAAAGCGGATTCATAATTATTATTGATTATTATACTCTTTTTATATAGTTTTTTTGTAAAGTAATTAATGATAAATAGTTTTAACTGCATGATAAATTGTTCAATTTGTGCCTTTTTTGTGCTTACTTTTCAGTCCCTTTCTATTGTTCGTCTTTTTCATGCTGCTTTTTTTTACTATTAGAATATTGTAGATCGGATGGAACCCCATTGGAAATAAAACGTTTTCTTCACTTTATGGATTATCCCTGGTTTCACTTTCTTGCAATTTATATCTCTTTATTAATCTTCTGTTATATAGTGCTTTTTAATTTTTTATTGTTTTATGGTTGTTTTTAGATTATTTTCATAATATTATATTTATATGTATTTTAAATTCGAACCGACTAAATTCAAATCAAATCATCATCGTCGTCATCACCAGGACATATTTTTCTCATTTGTGGAAACCACCCACCTTTAGTTCTATTCTTTTTCATATAATTAAAAATAGAATACAAAATAACACTACGATTACAATATTACCTAGTAACCATCGTGTTGTACAACATAAAGTCATTTTCTAATGCTTTACACAATTTTACTTTTTTGTAATTTTTTTCATTTACAATAGTATAAAGAACATACGTTATTATATAGCAAATACACGGATACATTTTTTTTAATGAGCTTACAATTTCTCATATTTTTTTTTCATTTTAAGTTTTCAATCTTTTTGTTAACCTATCTGATAACATCATACATCATTTAAGTATATCTGCCATTCATTTTTTTTTGTTTAATATATACAACAATAATTAAAACACATTATGTGTCGTAATCGTAATAATGAAATAGTACCGTATTATACATAGAATATAGCACATCATAATGCTTATACTTTTTGATCCTGTAATTTCAATTCACTTTACTGAGCAATGCAAACAGTTTTGTTCAAAATATATATATTTTTTATTTTGTAGCTTTTACTATTTTGTACACATTTTTTACACATTTAGGCCCTATATTTATAAAAAATAAATAAATAAACAATAACCCCCCCCCCCCTAAAAAAAATAAATAAATAAAAAAGGAGTTTGACAATCAGTGTAATGAACCTATGTAACAGGTTTAGGTAGAGAGGCTGTAAACCAGGAGACGCATAAAGTTCCCTTTTCACCAAGACAAAATATGATGGAATGGTCATAGAAGGATGTATTACAGATTGAAATAGGATTAAAGTAATATAGCATGGAGTAATATATGAGATGGGAACCATAAGGTTAGGTCCATGCACGGTTCAAGTCTAAGACGATGCCTTCGCTCTATGTACATGTGAGACGCATCAGCCCATTACACTGAGAACAATATATACCGTCAAAAATTACATGTCAATAACAACATTATAAATGCTGTCTCTAATTTCTGAAAGTCAAATTTTGACCACTTTTTTTGCTTTTTCTTTGTTAAAGTAACAATACTTTTAAACTCAGATCACCATCATCATCGCCGTCATCATTATCCAATTAATCATCAAACATCGTCATCATGAGATGTCATCATCATCATCCTCACCATCATCATTACCATCCTCTATTCATCGGCAAAAAAACATCATCATCAAACATAATCATCATCATCGTCATCATCATTGTCACCATCGTCATTAACGTCGTCACTATCGCCATTCCTGGCTATTTCTTCTTTTCACCTCTGATCATGGCGTATTTACAATCATAGTACTGAACAGGTTTATACGTTTAAGAACATACAGTAAAATGGCAGGCGGTGCATTTTACTTAATTCTATTAAACGTTGGGTGGACATGGACGTGTTGGGTTAGCCGCATTTATTCTGGTTGAACAAACTTTTGATATCTAACTTCCTCTTTGAGGTTTATCTGTCAGTTTAACAACTGTTTTCATCAATAATGTTGAAACACAATTTACGATCAATTTACTAATCTCTGTGGTAGGTATTGTAAGTAAATGACGTTTAAAATCAGTAAGTGCTATTCAATTAATATATTAATTTAGCTGGGAAATACAGAAAAGACACATTTCGGTGTATATTGTAAGGCATCAATAAAGCGTTCATTTATTATTAACATTTATTTATTATTTATTATAATAGTATTATCTATAATATTATTATTACTAATTATTATATTCCAATGAAATGTAGGTAACGTAGGTTGTTTGTAGCGTAGCAGCTCTAGGTAGTCTAGGCGGTAGCGTTGTCATTAGTAAAAGAGGTTTGTTGACTTTTTTTCACACAACCCAGGGGCGGCTGTAGGGGGAGCGGGCCGGCTCTGCTCCCCCACACCCACCCTAGAAAGTAGTTTTAAAAGGCAAAGAAAAATAAATTATTAATCGCCCCAAAACAGATCAGGTTATTTTTTTACCCTAGGGTAGTGTTGTCTCTCGATCGCCCCCCGCCCCAACCTCGGACATCTCTGGATCCGCCCTGCAACCGCAATACAAACCTTTCAGTAATGACAATCATTAACCTTTTTTCTGACAGGAAAATAACGTCGGAGGTAAATTTAATGACTTGTATAATAATAGTAATAATGTATAGGTGTAATTTTTGCCCTACCTGACGTGGAAATGTACCGAATACTCAGTACATTTGAAAACAACTGCGAAAAAAAATCGCAAATTGTTCTCGGGTGGAACTCGAACCCACGATCTCCGATCACTAGCCTGGCATCATACCTCTAGACCACCGAGCTTGCGCCTGATGGCCAGGGTTGAATTCGTTGAATAATAATAATAATAATAATAATAATAATAATAATAATTATTATTATTATTATTATTATTATTATTACATTTTTTCTGACAGGAAAATAACGTCGGAGGTAAATTTAATGACTCGAATAATAATAATAATAATAATAATAACAATAATAATAATAATAATAATAATAATAATAATAATAATAATAATAATAATAATAATAATAATAATAATTATAATATATTTACAAAATAAAGTACTATAACTTACCCGTCTGCCTGCGTCATTATTATGAATATTCATGAGGTAGCGATCGTATTTCATTTTGTTCTTTTTTTCTCTGGAATCGACGAATGATTGGGAGAATAGGACACCGTATGCGACGTTGTCTGAACAGCCTGACCATGTGAAGCCTTCTTCACTCGTTCCCGTCACAGTCCTGTCGCAGCCGCATTTCAACAAATCCCCACTACTGCACGCTCGCGTAACAGAATGTGCTACCGCCGCAGACGCTATGGCATGTACAAACGCAGCTTCACGTGTTCCTGAAAAAAAAATCATTATTCAATTTAATGTCGATATCGATAATAAGTATCATACATACAGCAATAGACAATTTTTTTAATGAAAGAAATTGCTGGAAACCTGGTGGCATCAAACCAATTTGAAGAATTGTTAACAGTTAAAACCAATTTGACATTCGACAGACCAAAAGGTACAGTTTACCCATTAATAAGTCCACCAAAAAGCGTTAAGGGTGGCAGGGCCCGGGGTTTTAAGCATGGGGACATATTCTTGGCTTTCTGCTTGGTTTAAATACTGCTTTTAGTTAGGCCTATGTGTATAACAAGTGTATGATTAAGAAACCAGGCGATAACAAATCCGTGATTTTTGCCCACCAAACACGAGATTGGTCGTCAGGCGGTCTACATATCTGTCATCGTATGAAAATGTAATAGTCGAGCAACAATAATTTAATAAGTGAACACTTATTGGAGCAAATTGGGAGTGAAATCTGCGGCAACCATTAAGTCTAGGCCTACGCGAGCTTCATCAACATTCTCCGGAGACTTTTACAGGATATAAAATAAAACTTTTTAGTGACACCTTTTTCCTGCTTTGTTGTGATTGAAAATAACAGTAACCTTCACAGTTGGCAGACGATCGGGAAACTGACAAATCAGAAACTTAGGCCTAGATGATAGTTATATATCGTCGAATAATCTGGTTGCTTATAGTTCCCGCCCTAAACTTGAAAATATGTTGATTTTATGATATTTAACAGTGCTTCGAACATAGTATACTTTTACAAAGGTGGTAAATCAGTAAAAATGCATATACAATCCATTAAAATAATAAATTATTATTATTATTTTTTATTATTATTTTTCTTGTTTGACGTCCACTTGACAGTGATGGTTTAAATACAAAATCAGAATGCATCCCGCTTTAAGTCCAACCACAATAACATTTATGTTATGACAACAAGGAAATTTTGTCAATCTTTATCTCATGGGGGTGCCGTATTTAGAACTTGTACGTAGAAACATGTACAGTAGTTTAGTGAGGCAGGAAAAGTAAATACGCCCTCTACGATGGTGCAAGTTTTAGAAATATCTTTATTATCCAATTACTTCACTGTTGCTGCATTTAGTTTAATCACGGATATCCGACATGTAATCCGATGCAGATGAAAAATATGATTTTACGCAGGCGACGAGATAGCTATTTATTGATTGTTGTAATGTTAAATAAATTAATTTATTTCGAAGTGACTCGAATACGTCTCTCATAGTCCTTCAATGAGATGATATACGTGATACAAACCACACGTCATTCGTTATGCCATGCAATACACAAGCCGTCTTGAATTAATATTAATAACATTATTATTAATAATTAAATTTTAATTTTATTTCTGTTCAATTTCTTCAAATGTTACAATATTGCAGGAATAATTATTTGAATCTGATGAAATCGTTTACGAATACTTTTATATAGATGAATCAATTTAACGTTAATCGAAGTCAGTGTTGAGTGTACAGACGTAGGTACCATCAATCGATCGGAAGCGTGGTTTGATCATCAACCAATAGAGAGGTCAAATTGTAATGACGCGACTACTTATTGAAATGGACTAGACATAGGGCCTATGCCAATTTAAAATTATTAATTGTTTAATACTACTGTACCTATAAATGGGTGCAATTACATAGTAAGTGAGGGAACTGTTAAAATTGCCGCGCCTACGTGAAAGCTTCTTTATGGATCACCTAACCGATAAACGGCCCTTCGGAAACACAGCGACACGATGCCGAATGCACTAATTCACAAATGCGCCAAAATCTATGTTAAGAAGTCATCCTTTCGTTTGAGATCATGTCACAACCAATAACTTGAGTATACCGGATCCTCATGAATATGTGAACCTTTTTTCTGTTTAATGTATAGGCCCAACTTATTTGCCCTTAAATTACAGACGATTGGCGCGCACCACACGTCAGAAAGTTTCATTCGCAGTGTAATAGAGAAGTAGGCTGTCTGAGAGTAAATGAAATTAATTAAGGTAAAGAGGCGTATATATGATTGCGCAATGTGACTCATTATGTGCCAACATCGCTAGGGAGAGCAGAATCATAAGTAAACTATTCGAAGGGATACGGGTTATGAAACAGGGCAGACAGTCATAAGGCATACTGGATCCACTCGATGCTAATACAGGCTCTTACTCACTATGCCCGCAGTCTCTCAAAACCAATTATTATATTAAAGTTGATGTATGCGCGAAGAATATAATTTTAATGAAATAATAATAATATCTCGAATTTATATGGCACCAATTCCAAACAAGACAAGGCGCAACGCATGTGAAAAGCCACTGGAAAACAAATATGTTTTAAGCTGGTACTTAAAGTTGCAAATAGAGTCCTTAGAAAACTGATGATAACACTACTATCAAACGCTCACAATCTCCCCATCCCCAAAAAAGAATACCGCGATGACGATCTGCAAGTAAACCGTAATAAGGGCATAGTTATAAGTATGATACTTCCTAATTAACTATTCACAGTACGTACACTGTAGTAAAAAACAAATCCATAATAATAGGCCTAATAGTAGTACATCCAAATAGCAATACACTATATATATATATATATATATATACAAAGACATTTGCGACATTCAGTGTTTTCCATCGCATCTTTTCGACGAAGGTGTAAAAACCAATTGCAGCATCTGGTCACTACGTGCAGTGAATTTATCAACACCGCAATGTTGTTAGAACTTGTAAATGACCACATACAATATGTTCAAGAAAATTAAACTTCTGCTAGTCATGTCAGTTCTAAATGCACTGGTCGTAAATCTTGGTTTGTGTGCAGACGACGAAAAACTTGCGCGACGGAGGACGTTGTCGACAAGCTATACGGCTCATTTCTAGCAATGAAAATCGCTCTTAAGACATTTCAGATCACATCACTTTCAAAGTAAAAACACACGGTCAATTATAGGCATAACCATGTATTTTGTTAGTTAATAGATTATAACTATAAGCATTTTAAAATTTAATCTAATGGGTGTATACAGATATAAGCTCATAAACTGACTAACAGGAAAACGTTAGTAGTAGAGTAAACGAAAAGTGAGCAATATAGTCGACATATTCAACTGTTGCATATAACATTTCATTAGTTTCGTATTTGGTTATATATGCAAACATGGGGTAAGTAATACGGCATGAAAAGTAAATATTTAACACAGCTTAACCGATTAGGTAAAACAGACAGAAGAATGTAGCTGGCTTAGGATTCTGTTACCAACGAAGGCATTAAGGAAGAGAACAGCGTCTTAAACTCACTGTCGCTATTTATGTTTCATCAAAGATAGTAGGCCTTTATTACACAGTTACAGTAGGTATATTACACGGATGTTACAGCTCATGATCTGTTATATCAACCAAATATCCTTTGCTGCAGACTCAATGTTCTACAATTAGCTACGTTTCTGCTTGGATTTGTGAGCGGTCCTTAACACAGTTAGTGAATAGCGCATTCTGATTGGTCAAATAGTTTGACTTGATTGAAATGCTGGAAAAGTACATTATATGGAATTTAATTTTTCTTAAATAATACTGTAAAACGTATTGAGAACTTAACGTTTTCGTGTTAAAACATTGTAGAAACACAGTAAAAAATATTTTATAAATGGTCATGGCCAGTCTATACATCTTTACATATATATGAATTTAGATTGGTGATTATCTATCAAAAATTAGAAAATCTAGGCCCAATTCTACTGCATTGCAAATAGTTAAATAGTGTTGCTTCATAGTTCAAACAGAGATGCATATTCTAAACAGGCTCCCTCAAGTCTGGAATCGGTATGTATGTATCAGTATATTTTTAACGTAAACGCCCGGTGTTGAATAATGTGAACATTCTGGTCTCGCATTCATGTATTGGCTTCGGTTTACAGCTTCATTTACTAATAACAAATTAGTATTATTGCGTATCATACACTAGTGGAAATTTTCAAATTTTAATGAATTTTCAGGAAGCTTGGGTAATTTTGGGCAATTTTTGCTGAATCTTGGGTAATTTTGACCCAGTCATTGGGTATATCAAAAATTGTGAGTGGTCACGCTGCGCGCAATCCAGATACCGGTACAATTAATTTATGTCGACTCGTGATAGATTCGTTTTAAACGCATTTTGTGCGCTTGGACTGACTACAAAGCAGGCTGATTATGTCTAATAGTAGGCCTATTCAATAGGAAATTGTCAGTTTGAGGCTATTTCTTGTAAATATTACCCAGAAACACTCAATCAAACAACTCAATTATTTGATCAGAGGATGCAGAATAATTAAGCATACGTGTGTGACCTATTTCATATCAATTCAAGGTCAGATTCAGTTCCCGAAGAATGTCTTTTGCCATTTAGTCAAGAGTTTCTATCATAATTGCTCGAGAGTTGTTAATATCAGAAACTTTATGACGTTTAGAACAGTAGAAAGACAGACAAAAAGAGGAGAATCATATCTTTTATTTCACAGGTCACCTAAATTATGATTCACTATCTGCTCTGTGCGTTTGTTGTAATTAGCAGGCCCATTTAAGATTCCTCGGTTATATTACAAACCAAGGGGAGGGGTTGGTAAGCCTCGCTTTAAATGGTTAAATACAAATATAGACAAAAAAAATGAGTGAAATAATGTTTGCAGACGAATGACATACAAGCAATAAACTTTGATGTAATTGATGAAGATGAATTTTGATAAATTAATATACCTGTCATTATAGATGACTGCATATTTTTGAAATATTTTCCCGGTGGATATGAATCGACTTGAATCTAAAACATCTGTTTCGTTTGACAACATTTGTAACGAAAAATCACATTATCAGGCAGACAATTTTTAGAAATTGATCAACGAAATTCGACATAGGTCTAATTCCATAGAGTACTTAGCAATTCGTTTATTACAAAACCACAAAAATGTCGCCCTCAATTGACAATATTTCAGTCTAACATGTCTTAACCCC